ATATTGAACCGATACGTGTACCAATCACTGTCTTTTATTTTTTAAGTCAATTTATTTGTATATCATGTCATGACAATTTAAAACTTAAATTTTCTTATTTCCTATAAAAAATTAATATTTTTAAATACTTAAATTATTGATACAAGTGACAATATTCTAAGTAAACTTAATTCTCTACTACATCATTTTTGTATAAAAAATAGTTTTTTTAATTAAAAATCTATTATTTAGAGTGAAAATTGAAAAATCTATATGCCATGATTGCACATTGCAAAAGGTCAAAGTTTTAGCACATCAAACTAAAAAAGAAAAAAAAATAGCACGTGAATAGTTAATTAGTCAAATTAACGAACTGGGTAAGCATTTCAATTTATTAATCCTTAATGAGATACTTGTAATTTATTATTAGTTCATTACTCGTTAATCATGTGCTATCATGATTACACACATTATGAAAAGGCGAAACTTAAGCATCTAAAAACTAATTAGTCAGATTAAGCATTTCAACCCCTAATCAGATGCAATTAAATTATTATTAATTCATTACACATAAATACAATTTAAGTTTTTAACTATTAATCTCCTCTTCTCCACTTTTTCTTAATCTAAAATAAATTACATAATTAAAATAATATAATTTAAATTATAAAACACTTTATACAATTTTTCAAAACTTATCCAAAGATGCTTTATATATAAGATAATTATACATACACTTAAACAATCAACACCCATCTCAACACCTAAGGCTTATGAACAGTAAAATTTCAAATTTATTCCTCTTCATTTTAGCTTTGGATGTTGAGATGAGTGTTGATTATTTTGGTATATATATAATTATCCACATATATATATATATTAACTTCTTGATATTCGATAATTACATTAAATCTCAATTAATTCACAATCAAATCACATCAAATTTCATTAAAAAAAAACTCCTATAACAACTTATTTTCTCATTTACAAAACTTTAACTTAATACCTTACCAAAAAAAACTAAACTACTTCCACATTTGGATAAGATCGAAATATGCTTGCAACATTAAAAGTCAGCATTGGCAGGAACTAGACGGCGGTTGAAAAAGCAAAACCGATACAGCAAACCAAGCGGGAAAAGTGGGGAATGGTACAAGTGTGGGGTACGTGACGGTCACGCGACCTAACGTGAATGTGAATGTGAGAGAGTAACACACACGGGGCAGGGCAGGTTAAAAAAAAAAAAAATGGTACTCCCAGTGTCCTATCTCAAATTGCCGTCCATATTTGTGCTGTTTGTTTAGGTCTTGCCCGTAAAAACCCGCTGCTACGTGTTTCTCCTGGGTCTTGTGGAAGAAAAGGGCTTAACTCCAGGAGCCCCCCTCCAACTTGTTGTCTTTGGGACTATTAATCCCCCAACATTCCATATAAGAAATTTGGCCCTTAAACTACACGTGGTAAAGGTGATTGACCCAAAAGGGACGGTAGTTGTCACTTAACCATCCAATTCCGTTAACCCGTAGCCCGCCAATGCCTTGTCAACAGAAAATTGCCATGTCAACACATTTTTCTAGCATTGCTAGCATTTTAATTAATTTTGCATACTTCTTTTTTATTTTCATTTTTCCAGAAAGACAAACATATCCTGGTCTAGATATTTAAGTTGTCACCAAGCCTTTCTTCGTCATCATAGTTTTTGGTTTCCGGAGGGAGATATCATGACTGTATCTCATCCAAACATTGAGCTGGCTGCTGCTTAAACAGTGTAGTGCTGTTGAATTGTATCAATATCAAGTCCCTTCAGCTTAACAACTGATTCAACATGCCCCTTGAGTGTATTCAGCTCCCTCAGCCTGAAAAATTCAAACACACATATTCCTTGAGAAATATAAAGCTAAGATCTTCAAATTAGAGTTCACTTTCTCCTAAACCTTGAATTAGGTAACATTTTACTAAAAAATTAAAATGAGGGATTTGTGGGCTTCTTCATTTTTCCCTTCACTGTACACTGACAATTTTCATCTATAACTCACCTCGCAACCTCAGCACGGCGTTTGGCCTGCTCTGCAATCTCTGAGAGTTCTCTGTAACTGCTCCTGTCATTGAAAAGGTTTGTAGTTTCAGGTGGTTGAAGACCATGGAGGGTTCTCTGTGCTGCAGCCCATTGTGCTTCTCTTTCTTCTTTTCCATAGTCTTTCTTTGTAGTGAAGGCAGTCTGCAAGGGGAAGGTAGGATGAGAAGTTGAGAATAACGTAATCGAAATGACTCTTCATCTATCAAGTGTTTATCTTGAGATTTAATACCTTGTTCTGCAGAAGCGTATCCCAAGCCTTGCCGCTAAGAAGATAGCGGATGGCAAACTTGAGAAGATCTAGAGGAATATATGTTACTATGCTATAAAGCCAGATAACTCCAGCCCACCCCCACCCAGCTCCTTTAATTCGTGCAAAACCCCAATTTGCATAGACTGCAATCAGTGTTGCTACCTGCCAAATGCAATTTTGTGATTTTTATTAAGAAAAAATCAAACCTAGAATCTGACTTTTAAAGCTGAATAAGAAAAACCTCATAACCAAATATAAATTCTAAAAAACTGGAGACTGAAAGTGTTATGGGTATAAAGTCTTACCAGCTGAGCGATAACGAAAGCACTGACTAAGAGAAGTCCAGGGCGTTCAACAAAAGACCAGCTGCGGGATCTTGTGACAAAAATAAGGGCTTGGCTCACAATACTCACTTGAAGATATAGAGCTGCCATCATTTCTTTATCCGTCAGGAGTCTTACATTAAACTTGTCCTGTAATATTGGAAAAGTTAAGCAAAACAGTAAGAAATGTTACCAAAATATCAAAGGAAGACTGCAAAAGTATACTTACTGAGAAGAAGGAGGTGTCTTTCATAGCCCAGAAAAACAATACAGTCATCAGTGCCAAGTAACCTCCAAGCACAATGCCAGTACAGAAAATTTCTCTCAGTTTCCAGCTGTCTGGCTGTGGAGATGGCTTTACTCTGTCTTTTGATATTGTCATGATTGTCCCTATAAACATCAAGGCAAGACATGACCGTTCAAATTCAGTCAAAGTTGGAATGTTCTAAGTGAGCCAAGAGACATATTGACATTAAAGGTTTAATGGAAAAATTTCTCACCATCATTTAGTATGGCAATAATTAGGACCATAAAAGGAGCAAAGTCAAACTTCCATATCAAGGCAATAAACATGAAACCAAACTGCCAAAGAAAAAAAAAAAAGTGTTAGATCCATATTTTTCAGTAAAATTAAACCAGCTTTAACAGTTGAAGTTCTCAAGACAATTTCATATGTACTTACAACAATACGGATGGTAATAGAAACTGCATAGATCTGCAGAATGTATAAGGAAAAGATGTGGTTACTACATATATATTGTTCCATGAAATAGTAAACAATGCATCCAACAAAAGTAAAGTAGAATCCAACTAACCGTGTAGTTCTTCATCCTTTGGAAAATAGCCCTGCTAGTCAGCACTGCACTTATAATGACACTAAGCCCAGGTTCAGTAAGGACAATGTCTGAAGCACTTCTAGCAGCATCTGTAGCATCAGCGACAGCAATTCCAATATCTGCCTTCTTCAAAGCAGGGGCATCATTGACACCATCTCCTGTCATACCACAGATATGTTTCCTCTCTTGCAGCCTCTTAACAATTTCATATTTGTGTTCTATCATAAGCAGAAAAAATTGTTAGAACATGGAAACAATTTTATAATTTGTTAGGTGGATGACCAATAGTGAAGAAATTTAAAAATGCAGGCAAAAAAAAAAAAAAGAAAAAGGTTAATGTGCACAAAATCAATGAGTGAATTTAAATAGACTAAAAGGAAGGAAAAAAAAATTCAGAGAAGCAACTTCTGGATTGAGACTTTTTAATAAGGGGAAAACTAATGCTTTGTTGTTATATTTTATGAAGGCTTGTTATTAGGTCTTGTGTATTTCCTTCAGTTAAAATGAAAAGGAAAAAGTTTGTGTTTTGGTAGGAAATGTAACAATAATATTACAAGTCACCTGGAAATACTCCTGCAAATCCATCAGCCTTCTCAATCAACTCATCTACTGGGAGGGCAGCAATGGAAGCATCCTTGTCTTGGCCAAGCAAGGAGGAAGAAGGGTACATGTTTGTTCCCATTCCAAGCCTCCTCCCCGTTTCTTTGGCAATGGCAAGCTGATCACCTATATAATGAAATAAATTATGTATACAAGATAAGTGCAAGCTCATGATCAGTTAAGAATGCTTTAAAAAAAAAAAAAACTAAGAAAATGATTTAGTCCCACCAGTAATCATCTTAACATTCACACCAAGGTTTAGAGCTCTTCTAATGGTTTCAGCACTGTCATGCCTTGGAGGATCAAACAGTGGCAACAAACCAACAAACAGCCATGGTGCCCCTGGACTGTCTCTTGACTTCTCAGGTACTTCCTGCACAAAAAAAGGAGTGAAAAAAGAGAAAGAAAACAGAATTATCATTAGCACCATTTACTCAAGGAAAGGATGTGAACAAATCAAAGAGTTATGCGTGCAAACCTGTATTGCCACAGCTAATGATCGAAGTCCACGTTCAGCAAACTTGTCAATTACGGAATGAACCTTCTTCCGGACATCTTCCTTGCTGTTGCATAG